ACCTCATCAACAATGGTACCTGCATAATCAGCGTTTGTATACCTAACCCTGAATTGTACCCCACATCTTTATACTGTAAAAAAAAAGAAAAGAATATTTTAAAAATGATACTTGGATTTCTAACATACATAACAAAATTATGGTGATGTCATTCATTTTTAAAGACTACTGGATGGGTAAGAAAAGCTTTGGGATAAAATCAGGAATTCATTTTGTACAAATTAAGAGACATCCAAGAAGACATATCAATTAAGCAGTTAAGTGTGTGTATACATCTAGAGATCAGTAGAAAAGATATTTTTTCTCTCTATCATAACCATAATCATTATCATCATTATAGGCAAGCCACTTGACATCTCAGAGACTCAATATCTTCATAAATGAAGATAGTATCTACCATCTTATCCCTGTAGAATTGTTACAGGGATCAAAATAATATAATGCATAAATAAGCACTTTGGAAACACACACACATTAAATGTATGAGTATATATGTATGAATAATATTCAGCATTTCAACAGAAAACATGACAACCAATTCTTTACACTTGAATCTCCACCAGCTATCTTCACACATAGTTGTCTTAGACTGTGTTCATTTTATCAGCTCTTAACAGTTAAATCTATGAGAATTCTTCCTTCATGAGTCATGCTATGTAATTGACTCTGGAGTATTATTTTATTTTTTTAATTATATTTTCTGCTTTTCTTTTTTTTTATTATAAAGATGTGGAGTACAATTCAGGGTTAGGCATACAAACGTTGATTATGCAGGTATCCTTGTTGATGAGGTATGCCCCTCCCTCCCCTAGCAGTTTCCCTCAAATGCCAATCCCACCCCCCTTCCCTGACAGTTTCCCCTTTTGCCAATCCCTTTCTTATAGTATTATAATTGTTCAAAGTCCACTTATAAGTGAGAACATATAGTACTCTGTTCTTTGTTTCTGTGATAGGTCACTGAGTATGATTGACTCCAAATCCACCCAAGTTGCGGTGAAGTCCATATGTTTGTGAAGATTCTTTTTTTTTTTTTTTTTTTGAGTTGGAGTCTCACTCTGTCACCCAAACTGGAGTTCAGTGACCGCTCCCGGCCACTGCAGCCTCGACCCGCTGGGCTCCGGTGATCCTTCCACCTTAGTCTTCCAAGTAGCTGGAACTACAGGCGTGTGCTACCACGCCTGGCTAATTTTTTGATTTATTGTAAAGATGAGGTCTTGCCAAGTTGTCCAGGCGGGTCTCAAACCCATGGGGTCAGGCAATCCACTCACCTCAGCCTCCCAAGGCGCAGGATTACAGGCTGAGCCACTGAGTCCGGCTTATTTATGTTTTAAAAAAAAAAAATTTATTTTAAAGTTGTGGGGCACAATTCAGAGTTAGGTATATAAATATTCATTATGCAGGTACCATTGTTGATGAGGTGTGCCCCCCACTCCCTGGGCAGTTTCCCACTACTGCCAATACCATCCTCCCTCATCCTGGTAGTTTCCCACTACTGCCAATTCCTTTCTTATAGTATTGTGATAATTGTTCAAGGTCTGCTTATGAGTGAGAACATGTGGTACTCAATTCTTTGTTTCTGTGATAGATCACTCAGTATTATAGACACTAAGTCTATCAAGTTGCTGCAAAAGTTCATAATTTTGTCCATCTTTATGGCTGTGTAGTATTCCATTGTGTATACTATTTATGTTCTTACCATCCATACTTTCCAAGGAGCAGTCAGTTTTATGTCAGAATTTATCATTATATCATCATTGATTTGCCTTTTTAAGATCCATTTTTCCTGCCAATGTTGTTTAACCTTTAAATCATGACTTGGTGATGATAATGATTATGATGCTGAAGATTTATTTATTTATTTTTCTTAGATTTCGATTCTTACTCTGTGGCCCAGGCTAGAGTGCATTAGTGCTATCATGGCTCACTGCAGCCTCAAACTCCTGGGCTCAAGTGATTCTCCTGCCTCAGCCTCTTGAGTAGCTGGCATTACAGTTGTGTGCCACCACACCAGCACAGCAAGACTTTATTATTATTATCATTTTTGGAGATGGGGGGGATCTTAATTTGTTACCTAGGTTGGGCTTGAATTCCCGGCTCAAGTGATCCTCCTGCCTCAGCCTCCTGAGTAATTGGGATTTTAGACATACACTACTGTGCTGAGCTAAGACTTTATTTTTTAATATCTTCCTAGTATTATAATCTGTGCTGTTCAATTTAGTTATCACTAGCTATGTACGGCTATTTAAATTTTATTTTAAAATTAAAAGTAATGAAAAGCTTGATTGGTCAGTCATACTAGTCACAATTCAGTAGCTCAACAGCCAGATGTAGCTAACATCTACTGCATGGACAATGCATATTACATTGCCGGAGTTCTGATTGCTTTTCCCTATGTTTTAAAAAAATGTTCTCTAACTGGGCATGGTAGCTTACACCTGTAATCCCAGCACTTTGGGAGGTGGAGGCAAGAGGATTGCCTAAAACCAGGGGTTTGAGACCAGCCTGGGCAACCTAATGAGACCTTGTCTCTACAATAAATAAAAAAATTAGCTGGATGTGGTGGCGCATGCCTGTAGTTCCAGCTACTTGGAAGGCAGAGGCAGAAGGATCGCCTGAGCCCAGCAGGTTGAGGCTGCGGTGACTGTGAGCATGCCACTGCACTATAGCCTGGGTGACAGAGTGAGATTCTGACCCCAAAAAAAAAAACATTCTCTAAGCTACAAGTGGCATTTGCAAATTTTAAAGTCTGTTTTCACTTGTCACTATTTCCTACTCTTTGATGAATCAACTGGAATGATCATTATTTATGATATAAAATATACTTAATTTGAAATATGGCTTTACTGTTCACTAAAAAAACTGAAATAACATTTTTGTGTCATTCCTAGGGTGCAGATGTATGTCGGCTTTGGCGTGTCCATCAAGCTTTATACTGCTTTGATTATGATTTGGAGGAAAGCAGAGAAATTAAAGATATGCTACTTGAATGCTTCATAAATATCAATTTTATCAAGAAAGAAGAGGTAAATATGTTTCCCTTTTTGGTCTGTTCGTGAGCTGCTTTTTAATAGATGTTTTTTCCTGTGTTCATTCTGTTGCTGTTTGCACTGCGCTCAGTGTTTTCGCGAAAGTTGGCTTGGCTTTCACGAGCTATTGTATTACTGCACATCATTTTTACCGCATGGCAGTTAGAGAGCAAACATTTTACAAGTCCTTGCTTATTTCATCATTAAATTGGATGATAACAGGTGGCTCTGTGAATCCTGAGGGAGCCATAATTGCATTTTAAATTAAGAATGGTTAAAAATAATGTTGAAAAAGCACTTCCCTATGGATGAGATCTGGCCCTCTGCCCTAATTCCATTTTAATTGGCATGTACTCAAAACTGTCAACACACAGTATTCTCCACTTCTGTTTTCCACTCATCCAGTGAATCCAAAGAGGCTTCTGGCCTGTTGCTGCACTGCCTGTCCTGAGCTGCTTCCACCTGTGACTACTGACACATGAAATATGGCCCATCTGAATTGAGATATGTCTTAAGCGTAAAATACACGTGGATTTGAAGACTTAGTATGAAAAAAATGAATGTAGAATAGTTCATTAATAATTTTCATATTTATTGCACATGTAATATAATAAATTATGTCTTGGATGTATTGCCATACATGAAATATGCTATTAAGTTAATTTAATCTTTACCATTATTAATGTAGTTACTAGAGAATTATTTGCAGGTAAGCTTGTGTAATTCTCCTGTGTTAGGATTCTCTGTAGTCGTTCACTGAGCACTGACTATGTGTCCATGCTGCAGATCCATGGGCCTTTGCTTTTGGTTGCTCCTGGCCTAGCAGACACATCTCTGAGGCAGAAGGAGGAAGTCATCACTCCTCCCTAGAGGAGCTGGAGAAGGGATTTAGGGGAGGAGGAGGAGTGCAAGTTCTGAGGTGCTGAATCAATGAACATTTTCTCAAGGTCTCAAGGCAGTGGCAGAGACAGAAATGGACTCCTGTGTGCCATCTGCAGCCCACTAGTCCAAGGCCTGCATGTGATCAGCACTGACTGAGACCTTCAGCTGTGGAAGTCACAAGAGCTGCATCCAGATCCCTGTTTGTTCACTTAATGGATGGCAGCCTCAGTGTGTTTTCTTTTGTAAAATAGGAACGACAGTTGTTCTTTCACAGGATTCCTGTGAGGAATTAATGAGATAATACGTGTCCAGCCACAGCACAGGCACTGGTGGGTAGGAACCCTTGGGGAGGGCTGCTCTGTGTGGCCCTTGCAGTGTTAGCACCGCCACTATTGGAAGAGAACCTGGACACGGCCTGTGTCTCACTCATCTCCAGCATTCTCTTGAAATGTGGGAAAAGTGAAGAAGTTGGGTTAAGACTTTAGACACTTTTTATTTATGTTGGCATATACATGGGCAGTTGGTGAGTTGCATTTACTTAGCATACACGTATGCGAATGCATAACATAGGCATAAATGTATGTGTGGCACAGCCCCTCTTTTTTTTTTTTTTTTTTTGAGTTGGAGTCTCACTCTGTCACCCAGACTGGAGTGCAGTGGCTGCTCCCGGTCACCGCAGCCTCGACCTACTGGGCTCTGGCGGTCCTTCCGCCTCGGCTTTCCAAGTAGCTGGAAGTACAGGCGTGTGCTACCATGCCTGGCTAATTTTTTGATTTATTGTAGAGATGAAGTCTCACCGAGTTGCCCAGGCGGGTCTTGAACCTGCTTGCTTAGGCAGTCCACTCACCTCAGCCTCCCAAGGCACGGGATTACAGGCTGAGCCACCAAGCCCGGCTACAACCCCTCTTTTTATGTTATGTTATGTTATGTTATTATTTTTTTTTCTTGAGTTGGAGTCTCACTCTGTCACCCAGACTGGAGTGCAGTGGCCGTTCCCGGCCACCACAGCCTCAACCTGCTGGGCTCTGGCGATCCTTCCGCCTCAGCCTTCCAAGTAGCTGGAACTACAGGCGCGCACTACCACGCCCAGCTAATTTTTTGATTTATTGTAGAGATGAGGTCTCACCAAGTTACCCAGGCGGGTCTTGAACCCGTGGGCTAAGGCAATTCACTCACCTCAGCCTCCCAAGGCGCAGGATACAGGCTGAGCCACCGAGCCTGGCTGTGTTATGTTATTAGTAGAGACAAGGTCTCGCTATGTTGTCCAGGCTATTCTTGAACTCCTGTACTCAAGCAATTCTCCCACCTCAGCCTCCCAAAGTGCTGGTATTACAGGCATGAGCCACCGCAGAGCCCCTCCCTTGTTTTAGAAAACTGTTATGCTACTTTGTTTTTTTTTTGTTTTTTGTTTTGAGTTGGAGTCTCACTCTGTCACCCAGACTGCCGGAGTGCAGTGGCTGCTCCCGGCCACCGCAGCCTCGCCTGCTGGGCTCAGGTGATCTTCCACCTCAGCCTTCCGAGTAGCCGGACTAACAGGCATGCGCTACCACGCCCGGCTGATTTTTTGATTTATTGTAGAGATGAGGTCTCACTGCCCAGGTGGGTCTCGAACCTGCGGGCTCAGGCGATCACTCACCTCAGCCTCCCAAAGGCGCGGGATTACAGGCTGAGTCACCAAGCCTGGCTGTTATTATGCTACTTTGAATTTAAGATATCTACATTTAGTTTCCCAGTCAGGCTGAGATGAGTGGATTGCCTGAGCCCGTGGGTTCGAGACCCGCCTGGGGAACTTGGTGAGACCTAATCTCTACAATAAATAAAAAATTAGCTGGGCGTGGTAGCGCACACCTGTAATTCTGGCTACTCAGAAGGCTGAGGCGGAAGGATCACCGGAGCCCAGCAGGTTGAGGCTGCGTTGGCCGGGAGCAGCCACTGCACTCCAGTCTGGGCGACAGACTGAGACTCCGACTCAAAAATAAATAAATAAATAAATTTAGTTTCCTAATCGTTTTATTAATTTGGTCAGTCACTCTGGGCAAACCACAAACATCTTGTACTCTACTAGCAGATTATGTCCATTGAATACTGTTACATTTTTTAACTTGCCTGTTGCAAGCATGGTTACCCTACATTTGAATCAAAGTATATTGGATTTCTGTAGGATTCCAGAGATTGGGCAGTGGTATTGCTGGTAAGCAATGAAGATATAAGGTGCTGTTCATTGGGGAATTTCTTGGTAGATATGTTTTATGCACTTTAAAGAGTATCATTATTGTTTTCATTCTTTTTAGATTCATGTATATAATCTGGTCGCATGCATATAAATTACCATTGCATGATATATTTATGGCTTGAAGACGGTATATTTGGAAATTCCAGGATGCCAAACATTTAGTCTCCTAACTATATGAATTCTCAGTTTTCTCATATATAAAGGAGAAGGTGAAATGGACTGATATTTGATGCCATTCCCACTCACAAATGCTAGACTTAAAACATTTTTTGATTTGAGATTACATAGCCATCTCTGACTGGGTCAGAATGCAGTGTTCATGGACCTATATGATGACTGTTTGCATGTCACCTCTCTGTGCCTGTGGTCTGTGAGGACAGGGTGCTCAGTGTGACTGCTATTCAGCTTTGAGGGAAGGAGGATTTGTGACTCTTGGTCTGTGTAGGTGTCTGAGACAGGTGATACCACCTGAGGAACTTTCCCAACTCAACCTCTTGCATATATTCTAAGTTATAGTTATATGTGCTTCCTTTTTTTTTTTTTTTTAAAGCAGGATTTATTGAGAGGACAGAAAAACTCCCACAGTGGGAGGGGACCTCAGGGGGTTGCCCCCTTGCTTCCTTTTTAACAATAGGTAACATGTAACATTTTTAGGCATTCAAAGAATTGTTTGCTTGTTATTAGGAATTTTTATTTGGTTGCAATTTTAACATTATATTCTCTTTATAGGGAAGAAGATTTCTTAGTTCTCTCTTCAGTTGGAATATAAACTTTATTAAAATGATCCATGGTACTATTAAAAACCAGTTACAGGGATTACAAAAGTAAGTGTTAAAGGTAATTAAAATTCTGTGCTGTCTTCATCTGGTTCAGTCTGTATGATATGACTTGTAAAAGTTGTATTTTAATGTATCGGAAGTTTTAGAAATTATATTTTATAATTTTATGTTGTATCATTGCATCTTTTTTTCTTTTATAGGAAATTATTCTTTTTTAGTAATGATCTTTGAAATTAAGAGTTTAATTTGTGATAATTCTTTTGATAGTTAAATGAGTTGCCAGTTAAATCTTCACCTCCCTGACAGTAAAGCCCATGTCAGTGGTACCTCTGATAACATTTGGAATGGCATGTGTACTTTCCAGCTGAATGTGTAGAGGATTGTATGGCTTGGTGGAAAGAGCCTAGAGTCTACAGGCGCAGCAGTGAATGCGGTAGTCCTGGCTCTGCCCCTCCTTAACATGGTAGTGGTCAGAACTGACATGGCGAATGCTTGCTGTTTGCCAGGCATAGTGCTAAGTACTTAATTTGTTCTGGTCCTGAGTACTTAGTCTGCATTTTAAAAAATTTAATCCTTCTAATTCTCTTTTGAGGTGGGCTCTGGTTAATTTCCCAATGTAAGGTAGCTGTTTAAGTACTCAGTCGGGATTTGATTCTGGATCTTTGATTGCGAAGCTCCTATTATTTGCTAGATGGCTTTCTCATCTTTTCTCATTTTTGGAATGTTCAGATTGAACTAATGGATTTCTAAACTTCTATGATTCTAAAGTCAACTCTGATATTTTACGTCTTCTTGTACCTGAGGAGTTAGTAGCCTAGAAAGTCCAAAATGATTCCAAGTTGAAAATATATTTATATTTAAATTTTTTGACTTTGGAATTTGGTTGTGGGTTTATGTTTTCATAGTTTCACAAAAAATAGTAACATTCTGGGGGAAGCCTTGATTGAGAAGGAGGAAGTCATTTGTCACTTCCTTCCCAAAACCTTTTTTTACTTTCTGCTTCAGGTAGATAACATATCTTTACAGATAATTTGCAAAGCACTAGTCTAAACTGAGTTTATTTTTCCCTAGGGTAGGAGAGTAACTGAATTGATACATGATGAAAGTATGATTCTTTAAACTTGCATTAAAACTATTTTCATCTTTTTAATAGGTCTTTGATAGTATACATTGCAGAAATTTATTTCAGAGCTTGGAAAAAGGCTTCAGGGAAAACACTGGAGGTATTTTCATTTTATCTAATGTTAACACTTATTTTTATTGTAGTTTAATTACTAAATGAATAGTAAAAGAAGTGTTATTTTGAGAACTGTGTTTATGTTCTCTGCCAAAATAAAATCAAATAATGAAAAATTTATGTGATGGAAAGGTGATCCAGTTGCTTACTGAGATGTGTGGTTTGCTCTTTATTAGTTGGTAGCTCTGAACCTGCACTGTTCAGCCACATGTGGTTATTGGACACTTGGAATGTGACTAGTCTGAATCAAGATGTGTTGTAAGTGTAAGAAATACATCAGATTTCAAAGACTTAGTGTGGAAAATGAAGAATATAAAATCTCATTAATACTTTTAAGAAAATATTGAGTGCATGTTGAAATGATAGTGGGGGTATATATTGAGCTAAACAAAATGTAGCTAGCCTTCCCTGTCTGTGGGTTTTGTTTCTGTGGATTAAACCAGTCATGGATAGATATGTGCAGACTTTTTTCCTTCTCATTACTCCCTAGTCATATAATGTAACAACTGTTTATATAGCATTTACCTTATACTAGGTATTATAAGTAAGCTAGAGGTGATTTAAAGTATATGGGAGGAGGTGCGTAAGCTATGTGCAAATACTGTGCCATTTTATATCAGTTACTTGAGCATCCGCAGACTTTGGTATCTGAGGGAGGCCCTGGAACCCAGGCCCCTTGGACACTGAGGGATGCATTCGTGGCTTGCATTCTTTTTTCATTGAACAGTACTGTTCAGGGACCTCAGGACACCTCTTTTAGTTACGTTATTTTCGAGAATTTGGAGACCTTCTCTTTGAATATGTCTAACCACTGACTGTGCAATATTTATATTATGAATATAGGACTGTATACATTGCAATTTCAATTAACCATTAAAAGGCTTTTGGACCAAAAAAAATGTCTTTTATTTCTTACATTTTTTAATACTAGGTTCTCAAACATTTTTCTTTCCCTCTGAGAGTAAAATTTTTACTCTGACTCAGAACAGGGTCTTTTGCAAACCTGTGTTCCGTACTAACTTGGAGTTCCTCCCTGGAGAGCAGGGAAGCACCTGTGAGGTGGACAGAGGCTGCGGGATATCTGGAATTCACTTCTGTCCTCTCTGCTTCTCTGCCTAATTTACGTGTGATTTGTATCACCAAGGTTTATCACTGATTTCTATTTCTAGGAAACAAAAAAAAAATCTGCTATTGTCCTCTGAAGACAACTTTGAGGATGGTTTTACAATTTGTAATTTTGGGGAAAGAAGGGCAAAACCAAGACCTTGTTATGCATTATTATTTGCATTGTGTTTTACTACTGCATACAACTTGTTCTTAGGAAGAAATATTTGCTCTTAGTGTGTTTTGCCTTCTTTTCTCCAATAGTGGTTTAAAAACAGGAGTTTGTAATTAAAAGCTTGGTTATTTGATTAGATGTATACACAGTTTGTACCAACAGCATGTACTTCACAGTCTCACTCCCTTTCCTCTCTTCCCTCCCTCTCTTTAAGTTTTTAAGGCAAATTTCAGACTCTTTGTTTCTATGTGCTTTATTCTACATCTCTAGAAAATATGGCTCTATAATGCCATCAATAATGCTAAAATATTAACAACAGATCCTTGGTATTTTAAGAAATAATCAAGCCATGTTTAAATTTTTCTGTTTGCCTCAAAATGTCTCTTTATGATTTTTAAAAATTAAATTAAGATCCAACAAGTTACCTACATGGCATTTGCTTGTTATGTCATTAAATCACTTATTCTAGAGCCTTCCTCTTTTGTTTTTCTTTTTTTTTTTTTTTTTTTTGAGTTAGGGGTCTCACTCTGCCACTCAGATTGGAGTGCAGTGGCACAATCATGGCTCACCTCAGCCTTGATCTCCTGGGCTCAGGCAATCCTCCTGCCTCAGCCTCCCAAGTAGCTGGGACTACAGTTGTGTGCCACCAGACCCAGCTAATTTTTTGATTTTTTTTTTTGTAGAGGCGAGATCTCACAGTGTTGCCTAGGCTGGTCTCAAACTCCTGGGCTCAAATACTCCTTTCTCCCCAGCCTACCACCAAAGTTTTATTTATTTATTTTTATTATTATTATTATTTTTTAACCTACACTATTGACATGTTGAAAAACAGATAGTTGTTCCATAGAATGTCTACATTCTGATAATTAGCTCTAAAGGTTTGAATTCAACTTTTATGACACAAGTAACTTCCTACATATCTTCATCACAAGTCAGATGATATGTGGTTATCCCACATTAAGTAATGCTAAGACTTATCAGTGACCTACGGTGAAGGAAATATTTTCAAAGATAATAGAGAAGAGGTTAATATTAATAATAGGGTTTCTTTAGGTCCCTCCCTAAAACCATGGAAATCCTACACTTGTATGGGGGCAGGCACAGAGTACAGGGGTAATAGACTATTTGGTCTGCTGGGATTCTGGGCTGCTCTTGGGTTCCTGCCTTATCTCAGTCACTCCACTCCGAGGACTGCTAGTGTACAGGGATGACAAGGAGCTCTCCACCCCTTCCTGCCCAGCCCTTCTCAGCAGCAGCCCTGAGAGATCTTATTTCAGTCAGTTTGGAATCCTAGTTTCTGCCATACAGGTGGTTCCATTTCACTTCTGGGGAGGCTGTTGGAACAGATCCAGTCTTCCAAAGGTCATCTAGGTCAGCAATGACTCAGGAGGGGGTTCCAAACTCATCATATACTCAGTTTCTGAAATTCATCTGATTTAAACTAGCCTTGTGTGGGAGAAGGAAGCCATTTGGCACAGAAGTCATATTTTATCAAAGTAAGATGGCAGAAACTAAGTGTTCTCCTTGTTTATTAAACTAGAGGAATTCTAAGAAGTAGGAACTTATGAAAGCTCTGAAATGATTCAGGGTTGTTCCTCATGAAATAAAAGATACACAGATCTGACTCCTTTTTCTACTCAAATGCTGCACTACTTGTCAGGTAGTCAGGTGGACTCACATGCACCAGGTGCCTCATGTTGCATTTGTTATTTCAGGTAATCGAAAACGACTGCATCCAGGATTTCATGTTCCATGGGATCCATCTTCCACGGAGGTCTCCAGTGCATTCCACAGTGCGGGAGGTGAGACGGTGAATGGATTGGTTTTGAAATAATGTCCCACTTTTTTTGATTTTAGATCATTGTTTTGGTTACATTTTAAAATTTTGTTAAGCTTTCAAAGGTATCAATTAGAGAGATTTCTCAGAAACTTGATATTTGGTGTCTGGCAGCTTTATTCCTACCACCAAAGCTTTATTTATTTATTTATTTATTTATTTATGTATGTATGTTTTTTTTTTTTATTTTTTGACTTGGAGTTTCACTCCGTCGCCCAGACTGGAGTGCAGTGGCCGCTCCCAGCCACTGCAGCCTCTACCCACTGGGCTCTGGCTACCACGCCTGGCTAATTTTTTATTTGTTGTAGAGATGAGGTCTCGCCAAGTTGCCCAGGCAGGTCTCGAACCTGCGGGCTCAGGCAATCCACTCACCTCAGCCTCCCAAAGGTGGGAGATTACAGGCTAAGCCACCGAGCCCGGCTCCACCAAAGTTTTAGTGAGGAAAGCAAAGGTATATTGTTGTTAAGGCAGCTGGAAGTTTATTTGAACAACCTTTATTTTAATTATCTGACATGAGAATTTCCAGAACCATCACTTCTTTTTTTTTTTTTTTTTTGAGTTGGAGTCTTACTCTGTCACCCAGGCTGGAGGACAGTGGCACACTCATGGCCACCCTCATGGCTACTATCTCTTTTTTCAAAGATTTTAGAGGATATTATAAAAATTATTTTTACTATTTACTTTTATATGTTCCAATTCACAATTTGGTGTTCTACAAGTGAAATGGAATAAATGTTTTGATAGATTATCTTGATATTTTGCTGGCATGGCACATGCCTATAATCTCAGCACTTTGGGAAGCTGAAGTAGGAGGATTGTGTGAGCTCAGGAGTTTGAGACCAACCGAGGCAACATAGCAAGACTACATCTCTACATAAAAAAATAAGCTGGGTGTGGTGGTGCTGGCCTTTAGCCCTAGCTACTTGGGAGACTGAGATGGGAGAATTGCCTGAGCCCAGGAGGTTGAGGCTACAGGGAGCTATGACTGTGCCACTGTACTCTAGTCTGGGTGTCAGAGTGAGGCCCCAGCTTAAAAAAAAGATTTTTATTTTGTTTTATTTTTTGAGTTGGAGTCTCACTCTGTTGCCCAGGCTGGAGTGCAGTGGTATACCCCTCACAGCTACCGCAGCCTTGACCTGCTGGACTCAGGTGATCCTTCCACCTCAACTCTCCAAGTAGCTGGAATTATAGGCGTGCGCCACCACGCCTGGCTAATTTTTTGATTTATTGTAGAGGTGAGCTCTCACCAAGTTGCCAGGCTGGTCTCATACCCCTGGGCTCAGGCAATCCTCTCACCTCTGCCTCCCAAAGTGCTGGGATTACAGGCATGAGCCACTGTGCCCAGCAGATATTTTGTTTTTAAAAGATAATCTCAGAATTTAGGTATGAATTTATCCTTGTAATTATGAATGGCCTGACTAAATAAGGTTTATCATCAGTGTCATTACCGCAGTGATAAATGTTTGATTGATCATAAGGATCCTGGCAGGAGGAATTGGAAAATATGGTCTGTTGGGTTGGTTAAGTTAAGCAGATGCTGTTGCTCAGCATTCTAACCCACAGGATGCCTTGTTTGCTTGATGTTAGTTTTGGCAATCATGTGTCAAAAAGCCAGTGAACAAAGATTTCCTCTTTGTTTTTTTCATGTAGTGAAATTGCTGCTATTTGTAGAATATAAATATACTAATTATATTAATTTTGAATGGATATGATGATTTTCAATATTGATAGTTTAAATTATCCAAGGAAAAAGAACGCAGAGATTTATCTAGGCTACTGAATTTTTCAGAGTATTTAAAAATTGTGATTTCATATTTAGGACCAATTTATTCAGTGAATTTCCTCTCCTTCCTTTCCCCCAATCCCAGTGTGGCTTTATTTAGTTGAAATCACTTTGGGTTATTTATTTCACATACACGATTTGATGTTTCAAAATTCCATTTGGTAATAAAGAATTGCATGTTAAACTACACAAGAAAAATTGACATGGTTTCTTGGTATCAAATAACTGACTTTTTTTCATGTTTTATTTTCTGTTGTGATAGTCTGAGTAGTAATGATATTATAAGTATAGATATCACTGTTTGGTAAATGTATGGAAAAATGCACAAAAAGATTAAAATGAAGAATATTAGATTTCACTTTTCAAGTGAAATGTGTTACTGAACTGCAAGTAATTGCTTTTATTACTGTTTTTTATTTTTTATTATAAAGATGTGGGGTACAATTCAGAGTTAGGTATGCAAACGTTGATTATGCAGGTACCCTTGTTGATGAGGTATGCCCCTCCCTCCCTTAGTGGTATCCTCAACTGCCAATCCCACCCCCCCTCCCCTGACAGTTTCCCACTATTGCCAATCTCTTTCTTAAAGTATTGTAATTGTTCTTATCACTGTTTTTAACACATGGTTTCTTCCTCAAATTGTTATTTTAAGTATTACATTTATATGAGAAATCATTTTATTGATTTGTTGAAAGAAGTTTCACAGTGCTTTAGACCTCATTTGAAAATAAGAAATCGGCCGGGCTTGGTGACTCAGCCTGTAATCCCAGCACTTTGGGAGGCCAAGGCGAGTAGATTGCCTGAGCCCACAGATTTGAGACCAGCCTGGGCAACTTGGTGAGACCTTATCTCTACAATAAATCAAAAATTAGCTGGGTGTGAAACATGCCCCTGTAGTTCCGGCTACTTGGAAGCCTGAGACGGAAAGATCGCCAAAGCTAAGTGACACTGGGGTGGCTGTGAGTGTGCCACTGCACACCAGCCTGGGCCATGGAGTGAGACTCCAGCTCCAAAAAAAAAAAAGAAATCCCCAAAGTATTAATTAAAATATTCTAGAATTAGATACTAGTAATGGTTGCACAACTCTGAATATACTGAAAACCACTAAGTCGTATACTTTAAGAGTGAATTTTGTGGTGTGTGAATTGTCTTAATAAAGCTGTTTAGAAAATCTATGGAATAATTATATGATTGATATCAAAACTTGATACTATTGTACATAAAAAGCAAACTATAGACTGATATCAGTTGTAACTATTAATAAAAACAACTGAGCCAGGTGCAATGGCTCACACCTATAATCCCAGCACTTTGGGAGGCCGAGGTGAGAGGATTGTCTGAGTCCACGGATTTGAGACCAGTCTGGGCAACTTTGAGACCAGTCTGGGCAACTTAGTGAGACCTCATCTCTACAATAAATCAAATAATTAGCCAAGTGTGGTGGTGCATGCCTGTAGTTCCAGCTACTTGGAAGACTGAGGTAGAAGGATCACCTGCGCCCAGCAAATCAAGGCTACGGTGGTCATGAGCATGCCACTGCACTCCAACCTGGGTAACAGAGTAAGACTCTTAACTCAAAAAAAAAAAAAAAAAAAACAACCAAGAACAAAAACTCCTAAGTAATTAAGTGAGAAAAAATAATTTCCATACCTTAGATTTTTTGGGGGGAGGGATAGAGGCTCTCTTGAAGCATAGGCTTTTGTTTTACGGCCTATTTAATTTTTTTGTTTCTCATTTTTCACTCATTTTAGTCTTTCGAGGTATGAATTAAGTAAGGCAAAGTTGATTGTTGCTGGGGACAAGAGTCTACAAAGAATTGTGGGAAGTATCTGGCTGGAAAAGAAGGGTGTAGGAAAGAAGAAAGGAATGGAAGCTATAGGAATGATTGTTTTCTGATTGTTCATGAGTTTTGGAAGCCACTTGATACCTAAATTAAACTTGTACCACGAGGGGTCACTAAGCAATGATACCTGTTACAGGGTCTTCAGACAGTATAGAATTGTTGCATGTTGCTAGTAAAGGGTTTGGTCAGGACATTTTGGAATCAGAATGGGCTATAGGAACCACTGGGCACACTCCTTTTCACGTTCCCCTTTCCACATTCCCCTTTCCATTTTACCGTGAAGATTAGAGGTTTAAATGAATTTTTTGAGGTTCTATGGCTGTTGGTAGAATAGCAGAAACGATTAGTTTAAGGCTGTTCATCTTTATTTCAGCTGGAAACTTCTTTCTTAGGATTAACCATGTTTAGTAGTATCCTGTATCTCTCGTAGCTACCCCTGTTAAAGAATCATCATAACATGGATGCCAGAGCCTACTGTGGTAGAGGGAGCAATCCTGCTGTTCTTTTCAAATAATTTTTTTTTTAATTGCCCTTTTTGTTTCTTTCTCTCTCTCTCTCTCTCTCTCTCTCTCTCTTTTTTTTTTGGTCTTTTTGGCCCTTAGGTGCTGAGTTACTTTCACCATCAAAAGAAAGTTCGGCAGGGAGTGGAAGAGATGCTTTACAGATTATACAAACCCATCCTTTGGAGAGGATTAAAGGTATGCATTTTAAGTAGTTTATCTATTTTTCGAATGTACTAATTCTTTTGAATTTAGGATACTATGGTTCAAAATTGCAGTGAGGCTGTAAAAATAAATATGGGGACTAAGTGTTTAGTGAAATTTTGCCACACATTTTTTTTCTTTTATTAAAAGCATTTCTTGAGTCCATTTAACTGAAAATCTGGATTAATCTAGTGCTAACTATACAGTTATTTTCAAATAACTACATTGGGGAAGGAGACTAGAGGCTACATGAAAACAAGGCAGCTGAGACTATGGGTAGGCTGCATTGATGGCTGGGGCTGTCTGGTCCTTGTGATCTAATGAATACACACACAAACATGTCCCCTTAGTTAGAATGTTCTTTGTGACTTAGGCTGGGCTTTGAGGTGAAAGAGCTGGTATTTTCTTAATATCTATTGACATTGAGGTGAGAGTGGCTTAATTTAAGAAAGGTCTTACAAAGTTTGACTAATTTAAATATCATTGTCTTTAACTTGTAAATAAGTCTATGTTGAGATCATTAAAGTATTACTTTGGAAACATTGGACTCAAGCCTTTGTATGTTAACTCATTGGGATTCTGAAATACTCTTCTTTTATCATTACAGGCCAGAAACTCTGAAGTTCGATCAAATGCTGCATTACTGTTTGTTGAAGCATTTCCTATTAGGGATCCAAAGCTTCATGCTATTGAAATGGACAGTGAGATTCAGAAACAGTTTGAAGAACTCTATGTACGTATGTCATGTGGTCAAGCTTCTCAGGGATCTCAGTGCTTTCCAGGCTGGGGCACTTATTACTGGGATATTCCACCTCCCTCTGCAACCACTCAGCTCTGCTCCCACATGCTCCCCAGACCTTGACCATTCTTCACAGAAATGTTCTATTTCTCCCTGGGACTTCTATAACCATGTGGACCTTGGTGTCCTTTGCTCTGAGTTGCTTTCAGGACATTTAATTATTTATTATCTTGTGTGGTGTTAAGCATTGTATGTGAGTTCTTCTTTCCCCAGTGAAGAGGTGGTGTTACGTAGTGGGTAAAGCACAAACTCGGCTGTCAGACCCCTGCATTTGAATTCTTGGCTCTCATTTAATAGCTGTGTAGCTTTGGGCAAGTCACTTAGTTTCTCTGTGTCTTATTTTTAAAATTTATTATTATTATTATTTTTTAGAAACAGTGTCTTACTATGTTGCTCAGGCTGGCCTCAAACTCTTGGGCTCAAGCAATCCTCCCACCCCAGCCTCCTGAGTAGCTGGGACTACAGATGCACAGCACGGCATCCCTAAAATTCCTTTTGAGGATCTGTGGGATAAGTTGCTGAGCAAACCAAGAATCGATTTTGGTAGTTTTTACCAAAAAAACTGAAAACTTTTGCTCTTTTTCGCTCAGGTGTCCAAAGCTATGACCCACTTTAGTTCTTCCCTGCAGTGTTCAGGTGCTTACACTGGTGGAGTATGTGCTGCCAGCGTAGCCACCACCCCTGGTACATTGTGCTGTGCTGTTTCATTGACTTTTATTAAATACTTGGCCCTATCAGACCTTTCACTTGCTATTCCTGATCTAAGTATATGTGAGTATGAAATGATATGTGACTTGCTGGGGAGCCATTCAGTTTCTCTAATGGGAGGCAGCAGAGTGATGATGAAGATGGGGTTGGACCTGTTTTATCGTGAATCCCAGCTCTGCCACTTCATGGGCATGATCTTGTCAAATTACTTTCTTTAGTCCTGTTGCTTTAAATCTGGGGATAGTGATATTTTATAGGATTGTGATAAGTTTAAATAAAAAATTATATATGAAGTGTTTAGCTCAGTCTCTTGTGCTAAGACGGTAGTGGTTATTTTCCATGGAATACAAAAATTACGTAAAGTATTAAGATTGTCTGATATACTCTTAGGCATATATTGGTGAATCCTGTGTATCTTGTACTAGAAATGCAACTGAGTTTCTAGGGAGATAAGTTGAGGCTAATGATAGAGTGGAAGGTTTGTGGGGCATCAGCTCTCTGGGGGATGCACGGGGTGTCAGTTGCTCCAGATCTTGGACATATATGAGGATATTGGCTGAGTAAATAGTGTAACTTGATCTAAATGCCTAAATTTCTATTCCAGTCATTCCTTCAAGTTATCTTAATTGTAAATTGAAATCTAATGTGAGAATGTTATAGTTGCTAGAAGTGTCATATGAATGAAAATGTTGTTTCTAAGGTATGAAGGGTGATGCAATTTTAGCAATTATGTAATATGTACATTCTAATAAGCTTCAGAGGCAGGACCTATGCAAGAATTGTTTTACAGTTAAAAATACATGGGGAGCTGGGCGTGGTGGCTCAGCCTGTAATCCCAGACTTTGGGAGGCCAAGGTGAGAGGATTGCCTGAGCCCAGGGGTCCGAGACCAGCCTGGGCAACTTGGTGAGACCTCATCTCTACAATAAATCAAAAAATAAGCCAAGCATGGTAGTACGTGCCTCTAGTTCCAGCTATTTGGAAGGCTGAGGCAGAAGGATCGCCTAAGTCCAGCAAGTCGAGGCTGTGGTAGCCATGAGCATCCACTGCACTCCAGCCTGAGAGACAGAGTGAGATTCCAATTCCAAAAAAAAAAAAATTCATGGGGGACCCCAAAACCCTGGAATTAATTTTTTTAAATTGTGTATTTATTCTTGTTCAAACTTCAGTCACCTTTAAAGTACTTTCTATTTGATGTAGCACACCTATCAAGATACTTTTTCACTGCTCAAAACAGTTTTTGAACTCGTCAGTTTTGATGCCTTTTAGTGCTTCTGCCATTTTTTGTTTTATCTCTTTCACATTGGCAAAATGTTTCCCTTTGCATACTTCATTTATCTGGGGAAACAAAAAAAAAGTTGCATAGGATAAGGTCAGCTGAATAGGGAGGGTGGGGCACAGTGGTCATGCTGTTTTTGGTTAAAAACTACTGAAAACTCACCACTGAACTACAAGGGGCCCACCCTTCAAAAGATAATTTCGGATTTTTTGGGGCCTTCTCAAGAGAAAGAAAGAAAAGAGAGAGGGAGAGTAGCCACACAGTGGAATATATGAAGCCATAAAAAACACTATAGGTTAGCCAGGCATGGTGGCTAACACTATAACTCAGTACTTTGGGACACTGAGGTGGGAGAATCACTTGAGCCCACAGTTCGAGACTAGCCTAGGCAACATAGCGAGACCTCATCACTACAAAACATTTTTAAAAAATCTAAAACAATGCAAAAAATTGCTATAGGTTAATATTTCTTAACATAGTAATAGGTTTATGGTACATTATGTTTTGAAGAGCAAAATATAAATATGAAAGATATAAAAAACAGCAACAAAATTTGCCAGTAGTCATCTATATTGGGCAGTGGAAGTACACTCTACTGCACTCCAGCCTGGATAACAGAGCAAAATCTCTCTCTCTCTCTCACACACACACACACACACACACATACACACACACACACACACACACACACACACAGAGTGCCAAAAATATGTATACATTTTAAGAAAGGAAAAATCTGTTTTAAAACTGTAATACTTGATATATACTGCTAACAAAAGATGAATACAAGTCACGTTTGACTTCTGCAATTACAAGAGGTACTCAAAGTGGTTCCCACAAGTGTCTAGACACTTCTGATTATGGCGAACATTTCTTAAAATGTGTATACATTTTTTTTGTCACCCCTGGTATATGAAGAGGGACCCCCAGAAATAATTTATAAAAACACTGTGTATTCTTACATGTTTAGATTTCAGTCACCTTCACCATTTGATGTAATACACCTATTGAGATGCTTTTGCTACTGCTCAAAACAGTTCTGAACCTATCAATTTTGATGCCTTTTAGTGCTTCTGCTGCTTTTTGTTTCACCTCTTCCACATGGGCAAAACATTTCCCTTTAAGGACCTTTTTCATCTACAGAAACAAAACAAATCAAAAAACTTGGGGTGAGGTCAGGTGAATAGTGAGGGTAGGTCATGGGGGTCATGCTGTTTTGGGTCAAAAACTGCTGAACACTTGGTGCAATGTGGGCAGGTACGCTTATAAATCACCCATCATGAAATGGGCAAATGTGTTGAAAGACTCAAAACAAAATTCACTAAAGCCAAACACAATCTTTCACAACAATGCTAGCTGGTACAATGATGCTGATGGGTTCCACTTACCTAGAGGGAAAACCTATAGTACAAGGGACCTGCCCTCTAGAAGATAATTTTGATTCTTTTTGGGGGGGTTCTCCCTCATATTTGTTCTTTTTAAGTTGCATTTCTTACACTTCTGCATTTCCTTCTTTTTTTAATTTTTAGATTCAAGGCATATATACACAGTATAGATCTATTGCTTCATGACAAGGTTTGGACTTCTGTTTGGCTGGTTGGTCACTCAGGTGGTGGACAAGGTTCAGGTGGTTTTCCAACCTTTATCCTCCTCCCCCTTGAGGAGTCCCCAGTGTTTGTTGCTCCTCTTCTTGTGCCCATGTGTACCCAGCATTTAGCTCTCACTTAAAAGTTTCAACTCCAAATCTACATTTAAAATGGACATTTGATAAAGAAAGGCTTGTGTGTAAGCAACATATCCTAAGGAAGCTGTGAATCACTTCTGGGAGTGAAATAAACTAGTGGTGGGGAACTGATCACGGCCAGTGCATATTATGAGCTGGAAGTAAGTTAGTCAGTCTTGCTTTGCTGTTTTATGTCCTTGAGTAACGGGAGCCAGGTGTCTCTGATTACTTGAATCCCAAAATGGTCCTTTATTTTTTTTTCACATTTAATTTGTGTTTGGCTAGGTAGAGAATTTTATGTTCCAGGTTATATTTCTTTAGGACTGTCAAAGCATTTTGTATTATTTTCTAGCATTGAGAATTTCTGAAACTTTCTCCTTTATCTTTTATTTTTTCCCCCTCTGCTGGTGCACCATGACATTCATTCGACCTGTTTGAGTCCTTAGACAAAGGAAATTTTCTTAGTGATCTTTTTGTTTTCCTTCTGCTGTCTGTCCTTTTCCTAGCTCCCCTTGTGGGGGCATTGCATCATAGCAGTAGATTGCCGGGTTGGCAAACGTTCTCCTGCACCCATCACACTCTTCAGCTGCAGCATAGAAGCAGCTGCAGACAACACAGGGACAGAGGAGGAGGGCCATGTTCCAATAAAACTTAGTGGACAGTGGTTGTGCAGTAGTGTATGCTTGTGGTCCCAGCTACCCGGGAGGCTGCGATAGGAGGACCACTTGAGCCCAGGAGTTCAAGGCTGCCATGTGCTTATTGCGCCACTACACTGCAGCTTGGGCAACACAGCAAGGCTCCATCTTTAATTAGAAAAAAATAACAGACAGTCAGGAGTGTTCTGCACATTATGGTGTTTTGCAAGTGAAGTGGAATAAATATTTTGATAGTTTATCTTGATAAGATATTTTGTTGGCTTGTTGCATTGGCTCATGCCTAATTCCAACACTTTGGGAGGCCAAGGCAAGAGGGTTGCTTGAGCCCAGAAGTTTCAGACCAGCCAGGGCAAATAGCAACTCATCTCTATAAAAAAAATCACAGCCTTTGGGAGGCTGAGGTGAGTGGATTGCCCGAGCCCGAGGGTTCGAGACCTGCCTGGGCAGCGAGACCTCATCTCTACAATAAATCAAAAAATCAGC